GATAACACAATAAACCATAAACATTTTCTCATTAGAACATTATATTGTACGTGTAAAATGTTTTTGAGTTTGAACAGACTTAAGTTTGCATACCTAAATATTCGATGATTATAATATTTTATATTTATTTAAACATCTTTTTGCTTTCTCTGTCTTCTCACCAAGCAATTCAAAACTTCAGCAATCTCTTCCATATAATTTATTTCGACTTTTTCATCAAGAAAACAACGATTACAATAATTTTTTATGATAAAAAAATCATTGTTTACAGCCTCGATATCATCAGTGATATGAGGTGATTTAAATTATTTCTCCATTTTTTGTTTGGTTTTTTCACGGATAAAAAATATTAATAAAGTAAAAGTATATTATTTTGCTACGTTTGATTCATCCATGTTATAAATAATCTTATGAGGACATGTTTGATTCAATCGATCATATATATATGCAACTGTAAAAGATTTTTTTTTTCAATTCCATTTAGTCAAATGTCAAAAGATTAATTTATTTAAAAATAATAAAATCTATATTTTTAAAATAGTAAAAAAGTAACTTAATTTAAATAGATTTAGAAAAATCTAATTATTTGGAAAATACGTGATATAATTTAATTGACAATCAATTAATACAAAAAAAATTATAAAAATAACGTAGATAAATATTTGATAGATTTCTCTATAAGAGAACATAGATAAATATTTGATAGACTTCTCTATAAGAGATTTTCTATCAACATTCGTAATATTATTTTATTATTTCATAGAGCGATCTTTTTTCTTGGATCAAATTTTCATGGAAGGTTTTAATTTTGTCTTCTTTTTTCGTGTTTGATTTGCTTTTCGTGAGTAATAAAATATTTAAAGAGTAAAAATATTTCAAATCTAAATATGAGAATAAATCCATCAACATTTTAAGATGTTTAAGTAGTAAAATAAAATAAAAAGTATACCTAATTTAAATAGGAATAAAAAAACCTAATAATTTGAAAATATGTGATAAATTTAATTGTAATCAAATAATAAAAGCATCAAAATTAATAAATAAATATTATGTTTCTCAATCAATATATTTACTTTGATTTTATTTTTTTTAACGAGTGATCTAACTTTTTTTTACAATTAAATATATTTTTCACAGACATATAAAAAATTAAATTACAAACTTGCATATATGCAGCTTTAATCTAGTGAGAAAGAACTTAGCATAATTAACGAATATTAAATGTAAAATTTATTCGAACAAAAAAAGTCTTTTAATTACAATGGATGTTTATGTACTTTAGAAAGAAAGATTAATAAAAATCTATAAGTTATCAAACTATTAAAAATTTAGATATTGTATTCTTTGTATAATAAACAATACAAAATTGATCTATTACATG